TTTTTTTTTTCTCTCCTTCGGTTTTTAGTTTACTTCTGTCGGGGACACTTTGATTTCGCAGCGGCAAGCTTCGCCTCGTAATTAAGAGGTGATTGCATTTTTCCGGCCAGGCAATTTCGTTTCAGTTATCGAAATTCTCCCCTTGATTTTCACTGGCTGGCTGGTTGCGCGCGTAGACAACCGGGCAACCCGTCAGCCACGGGGTTGAAATAGATTTCATCCGGCAAATAGGTCGACCCACATTTTAATCAGCTGGCCGGCAGAGTTTTTCGTCGTACGGTCGGTGTCTCGAATCGTCGTCGCTCGCGACAAAGCGCGTCCCGATAAAAGCCAGCTGACCGGATCCCATTTCCGCCAAAGCTTGGAAAACGTTGGCATCCGTATACCGGTCAAATTCACGCCGAGTGGACACTCGGGGCGAACGAAAAAATAAAAGTGCGAGAAAACACGGAATTGCAAACGAGAGAGAGAGAGAGAGAGAGAGAGAGAGAGAGAGTGTTTAATCGGCTTTCGTTCCTCTTTTACGACGAAGGACTCGGCTTATACTTAACATTGGAAATAATTATCGTGCTGTTACTTTGCTGAGTGCGTTGATTTTTAGAGAAATAAGATAGATACGAATGAAACGACGTTTCTTTATTATTTTCGTGTACCTGGTTTCGTTTGTTATCCTCGTTTCAACCTATACACAAGTCACGACCACTTGGCAAACGAAGTGAATGTTTATTTCAATTTCAGCTTTTAGTCGTTAGTTCGTGAATTCTACGATTTAAAATACGGAAACACGTTTGATTTCTAATATGTGTAATATCGAATACGATGATACTTACTCTTGGGAATAATTCCCTAATTCTACGTCGTTGTGACATTCTAAATCTGTAACGATTCTGAATCCGCGATCCGCGAATCTCTTCTACAACTTTCTATCCCGAAATTAACCACATCGCACTTCGATATACGAGAATCGGTTTTTACGTCTGTGTTTCAGAGCTGGGAAGCGCTGCCATCGGACACCGCGACATTCACACCGGACATTACACCCCTGATCCTGGCCGCTCACAGGGACAACTACGAGATCATTAAAATCCTTCTGGATCGGGGGTCCACGTTGCCCATGCCTCACGATGTTCGCTGCGGGTGAGCGAAGCTGTTCGAGATCTCCATTTCAACCCATTCGCCCATAAATACGATGAAATTTCGCTCGTAAATAAATAAATGCTCGAGTTGTGTGGGAAGGGGAGGAGGGAACGTGTGCTACGAGATCCCTCGTTGAATGCACGTGTTTTGATTAATTCCCCGGACTGATTTTAGCATGTCTCGAAACGGTTCGAGCAGAACCAATTAAATCTAGAGTATCCGCGATGCGTCGCAACTTGCATCTCAACTCCTCCCATCCCTAATTCCCGAGCATCAGGGTGACATTTCGCTCGTTGAATAATATTCGTCGTAAGTACGACCGTATCCTCTTACGCGGCACGCGAGTTTACAAACAGAGCGGCAAATTATTAGTCGGCGACGATACTGATTGCCGATCACGGTGGTGTCGATTCATCGACAGGTGCGACGAGTGTGTAACATCGAGGAGGGAGGATTCTCTGAGGCATTCCAGGAGTCGGATAAACGCGTACAGAGCTCTGGCCTCGCCGTCCTTGATCGCTCTTTCCTCAAAGGATCCGATCCTAACTGCGTTTGAACTCTCTTGGGAACTTCGGCGGCTCTCGTTCCTCGAGCACGAGTTTAAGTGCGAATACCAGGTGAGACGATTAAACGGCATACTAACTACGATCCCGATAAACGATCGAACGTTAGTCAACGGCGTTAGTTTTTAATAATTAGAAGCAACCGTTACGACAGTGGCAGCGAGTGAAATTGTTTGGTAAAGCAACGTGACTTCTGCTGAATGGCCAACAGCGGAACGGAATGACTCGCCTGCTCTTTCAAAGGATTCCCTCTTTGACAACCAGAAGACGATGTTATTCTGTCCATCGTCTATTTACCATGACTCTCAATTTCGTTCGGCCGCTTTGACGCTGTTCTCCTGGAGATCACCGATTACGCTGGAAAATAGAGCCCCCCCCCCTCTCGCCCCGACGTTCAATTTTGTTTGGCGAACGGTGTCCGCGAAGCCGCAGAAAGAAGATTACATAAAACAACCGTTGAACTTCGGGGGTTCGCTTCTCAACCCTTCTGGCCCACTTTCCTCTTCGTTCAATTACTTCTTCTTCCACAGCCCCATCTACGAAACGAAATTTACGAAGTATCTGCCCTGGGTTTTCCACGCTGTTAATGATCTGGATCGTGGTAAAAGAGAACTATATATACACCACCCCTTGAAAGTGCTCACCGACTGCTTCACCCTCGGGCTTAAATATGTTTTCGCCGAATAGATGGACAACAGGATTATTTTTCGAAAAAATAGATTGGAGAATTTACAGTTATTGATTGATAATCCCAAGCGTCATAAATTCGTGATTTAATAAAATTCACTTGTGAACAAGTATTATATAAATTGATCAGAGTGTACAGTGGCTCCCATTAATATTGAAAACTGTTATAATTTTACAGAAACAGAGTCGTACAGTAAGAAGCTTGAACTTGTTTTAAAGTCTCTAGTCTCAAAATACATCGTTCGTTTTATTCCAACAAGATGTTTTTACACAATACAACAGACGGTGAATGTGAAGACACTTTTCTTCTCGCAAATGCTACGAACTGTCATGGTAAAAATATTGAAAATCTTTTTCGCGATTGAATCTCGAATGGATTTGAAGATTGAAGATACTTGCTGTACGATTTTTTTTTTCTTTTTGGCCAATTTGTTGAATTTTTAATATCAAGCGAGAACGAACAAAATGATTCCTTATGATTCCTTCAGTTGAATATATACCTAATATTCGAAATTCAATAAAATGGCGAAAAAAAAATCATACGTCAAATTTTCGAAGGTCGTTGTAAAGGCTTCGATCTTCAAATCTGTCAGAGATTCAGCCACGAAGAAGATCTTTCTTCTTGGAGAATATTTATACTATGACAATTTGTAGGATTTTCGAGAAGGAAAGTGTCTTCACTCGTTCATCAACGAAATAAACGAGCCCACCCCGAGGTTTATCGTTTTACGATTCTCCCAAAATTATAGCAGTTTGAATATTCAGTGGCCGAATATTCAGTTAATGGAAGTCATCCTTACAGTGCACACTGTTTCAATGAAAAAAATATTTTGTTCAGAGAGAGAGAGGGGTTGACGTAAGCTTTCGGAAGAACGTGATCTACGAATCCTCTAATCGTTTAAGCCGTCCCGTATATTATTCTCGTCATTTGCCTCGTTTGTTCGCGCGGCAATGGTACTTTCGCCTTCCCATGGAGATGTTTCAGACAGGCTCGCGCGGAAATGGAAAATTCGCAGATCGCCAGGATTCATGGATGCAGAAAGGAAACAGGAGGTAAATCAATACAATGCAAATCGATCGGTTTCGCGAGGATGTCTTGCGCAAATTGTTCGAAATGCACTCGGCGAGCGAAAATATGATGGCCGCTCAACGCCCGCCACGTACGAAAAGGAATTGATACGTAGAAGCTGTCGGTGGATTTTTCGGTACGACGCAGCCTCTGCTTATTTCTCCCGGGCACCTCTGTTGACTCAAAGCGTCGTCTTCCTCGCGTTGTAAACGCGCTCGTTGTTAATTCGTGTAAACAGCTCGAGCACACGTGGTCGTTCTCCGTGGTCCGCCCGAGGTTTGCTCTCGAAATACTCGCCGATGTCCTTCCTCCGGACTAGAGAAAATCGCGCAATCGTTTTAGAGACGAGACGAGCGATATGAAAGTTTCACGGCCGGACCGCAGCCACGAGATATTAATGTCTCGTTAGCCCGATCTTCAAGTGCGTCGGCCGTTCGCCGATACTAACCGAAAATTTGCATCGCTTGCTATGGCGCTTTGATGTCGTGAATGTTTGCTTTGGCGCGTTTTCGTGCTCGCGGAGCGGGGACAGGAATACGCCGGATTCCCGGTCGTTCGACAGTTTCCGTCTCTTGTCAAAAGACAAGTCGGTCATTCCTAGTCGCTGGACTATGGAAATTCTATGGCATAATGGACCGAGAAGAAACGGGGGAGTTCGGAATGCTTCCAACCGCTTCTTTCGCCGATTCTCGACAGATCCGGCGAAGCTTTCGTCGAATTTCCAATAAATCATCGTCGACAGCAAGTTGATTAAGCTTGGAGGAAGATGGGCGACCGATTAACCAGAATAAATTATGGATGATCTACTCCCGTGGCGCGATAGAAACTTCTTCCTCTCGCATTTTTTTTTTTTTTTCTTTTCGTCGTATCGAACGAGTATCTATTAGCTGTCGAGTCTTCTCTTTGTTACTGAACGTAACAATGAGAATATTTTACGTCTCGAACATTCCTCTCTCTCAAAGTCTAGAATGGATACAACTGACAACCGAATACGTTTCTCTCGACGTTATGCCTCTC